CGCCCCGGGGGAGCCCCCGAACCCCGGCGCCGGCCGCTCCGCGTCGCTCTCGTCCGGGACACTGTGGGCCGCAACCGCCAGGGCGCCCTCGGAGTCGGCCGCCTCCGTTTCAAATGGGGACTTCCGGTAGCTGGGCGGAAGGGAGCGCAGTTCCGGTGTGGCGGGCCCGGCCGTACGGAAGGCCGTGGCTCGGGCCGCCACGCTGGGGGCCGCCATGCTGTACGGACTGGCCGGGACCGGGCGCGCCCGTGGCGGGCCTGCGTGGAGCTGGCGAGCCGCAGCGCCGGGCCCCGGGCCCCGGCCGGACGGGGCCCACGTTGGGCTCTAGGTCACAATCCTCTTTATTTCGAGCGGTGATTATCAGGGGCGCCCCGGGAGCCCCTCGGAGGCTGCCGCGTCCTCCTCCTCCTCCCCCGGCGCGGGATCGCTGGAGACGCTGCGGGAAATGGCACGCGAGGGCGTGCGGGCGGCCGCGGCCAGCCCTGGCTCTTCCCTAGCGCGTCCGCGGCGGTCAGAGCTGATGCGAGCCCTCCCCGGCCTGCGCCGGGCCCGGCCCCGACCCGACCGGGCAGCGGGCAGAGCCCGGCCCCGACCGGACGGGGCAGCGGGCAGGGTCCAGACCCCGACGGGTTTGGCCGGCAGGACTGACTGCGGCGCCGCCCTCGTGGGAGAGTACAATCCAGGAACTGGACGGTGACACTGATAGATACCTACTGAAGGAAAAAGTACGCGGTGCTGTGAGGGGAAAAAAGCAGAAGGAGAGGCTTGGAGTGTGAGGGAAGATGTGATCCTTGCTGACTGGGGAGGAGGGGGAGCTGGCGCAGGAGCAGGAGCTGATCCCCATACACTGGAGAAGAATAGACAAGCGCAAAGTTCCTCCAAGGCGGAAATGGGGTTTTCTCCTGTAGGAACTGGAAGATAGGACCAAACCAGGCTCACGCTGGTCATCCTAGCTACTCTGGAAGATTGTGGTTTGAGGCCAGCCCAAATGAGAGACCTTCATCTCCAGCTAGGAACGTGGCTCAGTGGTAGAATGCTTGCCTAGCATGCATGAAGCCCCTGGGCTTTGATTCCTCAGTATCACACACACAGATAAAGCAGTGGCGCTGTGGCTCAAGTGGTAGAGTGCTAGCCTTGAGCAAAAGCAGCTCAGGGACAGTGCCCAGGCCCTGAGATCAAGCCTCAGGATTGGAGGCAGGGAGGGAGGAAGGGAGAGAGAGAGAGACCTTCTTCTCAATGAATTTAAGGGGGAAAAAAAACGTGCGCTGGAGCACCCTGTTTCTCCTTGTGCTACTGGAGAAGCACAAATAGGAGGATTAGGGTTCATGCTGGTCTGAGCACAAATGCCAGACCCCAGGAGGAAAAAGAAGGTAGGAGAAAGGTACAGATAAAGCAGGAAAGAGCAAAGTGGCAGCCTTTGTGCCAAGGTAAAGGGATTCAGTTTTATCTTAAGAATAATAGGGGGCTGGGAAGGTGGCTCAGTGGTAGCGCACTTGCTTTGCATGCATGAGGCCCTGGGTTCGATTCCTCAGCACCACATAAGAAAAAAGAAAAAAGCTGGAAGTGGTGCTGTGGCTCAAGTGGTAGAGTGCTAGCCTTGAGCTGAAGAGCTGAGGGACAGCACCCAGGCCCAGAGTTCAGGCCCCATAACCGGACCCCCCAAAAAAAAAAGAAAAAGAAAAAATAGGAAGCCACTCCACACATTAGAAGAGTGTCATCATATATATATATATTTTAATTTATTTTTGCTTGTGGAGCTATCCCTGAGTTGTTCAGCCCAACACAAACTACCACTCAAGCCACAGCACCACTTCCAGTTTTTTGGTGGTTAATTAGAGACAAGTCTCACAGACATTCCTGCTTGGGCTGGATTTAAACTGCAGTCCTCAAATCTGAGCCTCCTGAGTAGCCAGGATTACACGAGTGAGGCACTTCCTCTCTGTGACTCCATGTTCTTGCCTCATACCTGCTGCGAGCGACTGGGGTAGTAGAAGGAGTGGGGGGGGGGAATCATTTGTTACCCAGGAGGAAATTAATAAGGATCAGGAGAAGCCAAATAACCCTCATAACAGATGCCACCTGTGGGAAGCAACTATCCCGTAAGCTGTAGCTTATACTGGAGGTGGGGATTACCCCTCCAAACTGAGCGCCTCCTCTTTCTGGTCTCAGGAGGCCATATTCAATTCTAGTTACTTTTTGGAAGTTATTTCCTAACCTGTTACGTAAATAAACTAGCATATTCTTGGAGATGGAGAAAAGCAAAATCCACGTAAGGCAGCTTTAAAAGTAAGTCTCAGGATAAGGTTGGGAGTAGGGGAGGGAGGGAGAGAGAAAGAAAGGGGGGAGGAGAGCAAGAGAGAGAGAGAGAGAGAGAATCCACCCCCAGGCTTGAATGTGTGTGGATAATCACTGTTTTGTGTAGATGTGTTGGGAAATTGAGAGTTTGGCTTTCTTCCTTTCCTTCCTTCCTTCCTTTTCTCTCTCTCTCTTTTTTTTTTCCTGTCAGTCATGGGGCTTGAACTCAAGGCCTGGGCACTGTCCCTGAGCTCTTCAGCTCTACCACTTGAGCCACAGCACCACTTCCAGTTTTCTGGTGGTTAAATGGAAATAAGAGTCTCCACAGGCTTTCCTGCTCAGGGTGGCTTTGAACCAGTATCCTCAAATCTCAGCCTCCCCAATACCTAGCACCTGGCTATTTAAGATTGGAGGGGGGTAGGTCTTACAATGTTGTTCCATTTGTCTCCCAACTCCTAAGTTCCAGTGATGCTTTTGCCTTGGTGGCTAGAGAAGCTGGGACTTCTGGAGTGAGCCAAGAAGGACTTATCTTGATTGAGCCAACTGACTTGGTCAGTCTTCTGTGCCCATGAGTTCTGTACCTGCAGATTCAACCATGCAGATTGAAAATATCTGGGGTGGGGTGGGAAAAAAAACCACATCATAACTGAACTCATACATATTTTTTCTTGTCATTATTCCTTAAACAACACAGTATAACAACAACTGACACAGCCTCTACATTGTAAGTAGGTATCGTAGATCACTAGAGACGATTTGAAGTAAATGGAGGATACGCGCAGGTTATAAGCAAATACTACACCGTTTTACACAAGGAACTTGAGCATCCTTGGATATCACCATTGGGGGAGGGGGGGTTCTCGGAACCAATTCTCTGTAGATACCAAGGGACAACTGTACTGTCTTCTGTCATCTCCGTAACTCTTAGGTCTCATTTAGATTTCTGCTTCACTGGTCATGAGCTGCTGGGGATGGGAGGTAGGTCTCAACAACATAGGAACGTGACATAATCAAGCCAACATATCCTCTGAGTCACTCCAGCTCTACGACAGACGGGCTGTAGAGAAACCCCTAATCTTCCTTGACACCCCTAGGGAAACTGGCGTGGATCTGTGGTTTTCAGGGCACATCCTGAGGGGCTGCCAAGAGCCTTCAGGGACCCCAGGACCCTTGGTGTTCGAATACAAGGGTTCTTTTAAGGAAGGGTGGTCAGGCTATAGCCTTTGGAAACTGCTGGAAATGATATTCTCAAAACCCCTTCCAGTCCATGTGTAAGAAGCTGGCTCTTTGAAGGCACCCTCCCCACCTCCCCACAGCTGTGCTCCTCCTAATACCGCACGCAAAGCTGTTCATAGACTCCCTGGCGCCACCTAATGTATGAGCTCTGACATGGGTTGGACCTTCAAGGTAGACTCCTTGCTCTGGGTAGGTACCCAAGTCAGGTACCCAGTGCCCCATTCCCCCAGATTTGTTCTTTAGAAGCTCGAGACTTGACACAGAGAGCAGTTTCAGACTAGTACGTTCCCCAGAAAGGGCAGATCTGAGTTCTTTCTTAGCTGGATTATTCTGCTGGCCTTCCATCCCTCAGTTCCTGTCCTGCCAGGCCCCCGTGTGCACTGCGGCCTGAGGATCAGGTCAGTGCTCGTCTGGAGGCTGGCCGCTGGAGGTCCCTCAGAGGATTCCAGAGGGGAGGATGGGGTGTATGGGGGACACAAGGAGGCACCCTGGGATCTGCTCAGAGTGCCGCTTATTCTGGAGATGGGCGTCCAAAGGGGGAGGCAGGGTTTACACACAGACAGCCAAAAAGGCAGGTTGGAGGAAAGTACTAGAAGCAAAGGATCAAGACAAGCCAGGGACCAATGTCTCTGAAGCTGGTAGCCAGAGTCTGAGAGTTGTGGTGATAGAATGAGTCAGGAAACCGCTCTGCCAGGGCCCGGCCACATGAGCGGGGAAATCGATGGCTTCCTCAGTCTCTGTGTGTTTCCCTTGCTTGTTGGGGCTCACAGAACCTCACCGCCCCACCTCACCGCCCCGTAGCAAACGGCTGGACACAATTATGGGTCCCTCTCAGGAGGGGAGGATCTTGCAATTTAGCGGTGCTCTGTGGCTAACCATTGGCCTCCCGCCAGCCAAGTCTGCCTTCCCGGCTTCCAACCAACAGCCAGCTCCGCTCAGCCCTGGGAAACTGCTCACACTGGACAGCAATCCAGGAAGAAGCCCCCAGCCCGATCCTGGCCAGAGAAGTTCCCCAAAGAATGAAAAGCTTCCTGATGAAGAGTCAATGAATGAGAAGGGGGGTGATTCAGGAGGCAGTGGAGATTGCTGAGGGCTCTTCTGCTCAGTGAGGTACTCTGTCAGGGTCGTAAGGACGGGGTACCCGAGGGTCACTGAGCATCTTGCCACTTGGGAGAGGGCCAGAGCCATCTCCCCTGATAGAGCCGCACATCCAGCCTCCCCTCCCCTTCCAGAGGAGGGGTCCTTCCTTATTGGCACGGTGGGGGCAGACAGGCCCTCAGCAGGTCACGAGGAGAGCCGGGTATTCCCTCTCACAGGTCCTCCCCACCCAGTCCTCCAGATGTAAGGGATGAGTAGCAGAGAGATCAAGGCTGGAACATCTGGCAGGGTTGAAAAAAATCCATAGCTGGAGGGTGTCACTTTGGAGAAATACCTTCAGGCTCTGGCCTGGTGCGGGCCCTGCCTAATCATCAGGGACAGGTCCGCAGCCTGGTCTGGCCTCTGGCGACCTCCTCTAGGTGCTGTAGCCGGAGGTGTAGGCATTGGGCCTGCGGAGCCACACATCTGGCAGATCTGGCTGGCTGTTGGGCAGCATCACAGGGCTGCCATCCGGCCCGCCGCGGCCCTTCCAGGACGAGCTGCTGTGCTGGGAGCTGGCCAGGGTCGGGTCGTAGATGGTCTCCTTCAGCGCCAGCCAGAGGGTGTCACGCTTCCCATTCAGCTGGCCCCGCTCAAGTGCGGGCTTCCCGGCATCATCCAGGTCTTCTGGGCAGATAACCACGGAATCCGGCACGCGGGCACTGGGCTCCGAGGCGCTCAGGCAGGTGTCGTCGGAGACGCTGAGCCCCTCCAGGGTGCTGGCTGAGGAGCAGAGGCCATCAGGAAGTTCTTCTGCCTTGGACTTGGGAGAGGGGGGCGGGACTTCCGGGGAGGCCTGGGGAGGCTCAGCCTTCTGCTCCTGGGAGTCCTGTGTCACCCAGCTTTGCGGGTTGGGGCCAGCCTGCTTATAGGGCGAGGAGGTCTGCAAAGCCGGGCACTGGCTGAACACTGCCTGGTGGTCCAGGAGCAGGTCCCGCGGGGAGGCCGGCACGAGTGGGGGCCGGCCGCAGCAGTTGCCGTCGTGAAACGGCAGATCCTCCGAGAGAACCGAGGGCCGATGGGACAGCTTGCTGGTGGCCGTGCTGGTGTCAAAGCTGGGGCTCCGGCGCCGCGCCAAGGGCTGAAGCTCGTAATGCTCGGGGCAGATCCCAGGGATGCCTGCCCCGGGCCGCGCCTTCTCCTCGTCAGGATCCTCCGTGCCCGCACCCCACGGCAGGTGCGCGCAGGGCCACAGGATCTGCCCACAGTTCTTCTCGGGCCCGAAGAAACAGCACAGAGACTGGAAGAAGAAGCTGGCGAAGCCACAGCTGACGAACTTGACCATCATCAGGGTGATGCCCAGCTTGCGATACAGCAGGACCGTGGAAGGCAACATGATGACGCCCGAGGCGAACAGGGCCGCCGTCCCCATGGCCGTGGCCCGGCTGGTCTGGCGCAGGGAGAAGGCCACACGGCTCAGGCGATCGGGATGTGGGCACAGGTGATAGGAGATGCAGTAGTTGATGGTGAAGTCCACGGAGAGGCCCACCGAGGCAGACAGGAAGAGAGCCTCGGCCGTGTTGAGCTGCCACTCGAGTAGGACCAGCAGGCCTGCGGTGAGCAGCACCGTGCCCGCCACGGCTGCCACTGAGAACAGGCTGAGGGGAACATTCCAGGTGCCCAGCAGCAGCGTGGCAAAGGCCAGCGCCAGAGCCAGCCCCAGCACCACGGCGGGCTCCGTGCTCAGGCTGTGCTGCAGACTGTACAGCTCTAGCCGGCTGGTGAACCAGCCTCGGCGGAGGCCCGAGGGTGCCCTGCCCAGCTCGGAGGCCAGCCAGCGGCTGACTTCGGTGTAGAAGTGGTGGACCGGGCCGTATTCGGCACTGTATGGGAAGTTGGTCTGGAACTGCAGGACCAGGGCAGCGAGGTTGCCGTGGGCATCGAAGCGGAGCCCCAGGTCGCGGGTGCCATCGGGGCTTTGCTCCAGAGCCATCATCTTGAGGCAGTGCAGGAAGAGCTGGGGGGCCATGGGGAAGTCTGTCTGGCCACAGCAGAAGTCAGGCCCGAGGCGGGCGCAGCTGGGACTCTCCATCCAGCTCTGCAGGGCCTCCACCAGGCACAGCGTGGGCCACCCCTTGGGCTGGGTGCTGAAGAAGCTCTGGTTCCGGGCTTGGTGGCAGAGTTCCAACAGCCAGTCCTGGGCCTCCAGGCTGCTGACGGAGAAGTCAGGATCGCTCACCAGGGAGCTGTTGCTACGAGGGTCCAGGGGGTCGCTCGTGTCCACCGGCAGGATGCCCCACACCAAAACCACGGGCAGGTGGCCGCCCTCGTCTGGGGGCAGGTCCTCGAACAAGAACTGCTGGCGGTACTCGGCATCGAAGCGCTCGAAGGGGTGGCTGGGCCGGAAGACCTGGCCCCCGGCAGGCAGCAGAATGGGCAGCTGCAGGCGGGGGCTGACGCCGCCGATGTAGCCGCCCCCCACCGCCAGCGCCGCGAACCAGCAGATCCAGATGTACCGGAACTTGATGACCCCACAGGGCAGCAGGCGCTGGAAGAGCAGGCGGGAGAGGATGGACACGACCCTGCGGAGGCCGCGGACCCGCCGGTGTATGGCCAGCAGCAGCCGCAGGGGGTCGCTGCCGCCCCTCGGGGCCTGCCTGGGCAGACAGCCGCGGGCCAGGTAGCGCTCGTGCAGCACGGCGGAGGCGGGCAGCCAGACCAGCGTGAGCCCCATGTGCACCAGCACGGCGGTGCCCATGAAGAGGGCGAAGCAGCGCACGGTGGGCAGGCGGCTCAGGTAGCTGCCGTAGAAGGCAGCGCCTGTGGTGAGCCCCGAGACCAGCAGCAGGTAGCCGAAGTGGTGCATGGTGCGGCCCACGCGCTGTGCCAGCCCCCCGGAGGGCACCTGGCTCTTGCTGAGCCGCCAGAGGTCGAAGAAGATGAGGGTGTGGTTGACGCAGACGCCACTGAGCAGCAGGAGGGCCGCCAGGTTGACGAAGGGGAAGTAGGCCATGCGGAAGGCCACGTGGTAAAGGAAGAAGGCCACCATCAGGGAGCCCAGCACCCCCAGCAGCACCATGACCGTGATGAAGAAGGAGCGCAGGTAGAGGGTGACGCTGAAGAAGATGACGGCCAGGGCCAGCAGGGGGTACACTGTGTCCAGCGCCAGGAAGTGCTTCAGCAGCACCTGCTTGAGGCCCAGGTCCATGCCACTGATCGATGTGTAGTTGTCAGAGACCTTCTGGACATCAGCTAGGCCATCCAGGTAGATGTCCAGCATGGAGGCGTCCTTTGTGATGGGCAGGAAGAGTAGGCCGAACTTGAGGGATGGCACCTGGTAGTCAGCCGTCTGGGGACTCAGGAAGTCCCTGTCCAGCAGGAAGTGCAGGAGTTGGTACACAGCCCCGCTGCGGGCGCACTTGGTGGGGACCTGGGCACAGAATGGGGGCTTGTCCGGCTTGGATCCCAGGCAGGAGGGCACGAGGACCCCACGGTGGTAGTAGGGCGCGCAGTACCGCAGCAGGGCCAGGGTGCGGGCCGCGTCAGCTTCCGTAGTATCCAGACAGGAGGAGCGGTTGGACAGCACGGCCAGATAGTTCCCGAGGGACCAGCTGGGGCAGCACTCATTGGCTGCGGTGCGCTGGCACAGAGCCCCAAAGTGCGGATGGGAGCGGATCTGTGGGGCACACAGTATGAGAGAGCTCAGGAGCAGTCAGTCGGTGGGTGGGGGAGGCTCCAGGCCCCCCCCCAGCCCTGGCCTAACCATTCACACTTCTTCAGGTGCAGGTTGGAGACAAAGGGGTGACTTGACAGCCCAATACCACTGGCTTGTTCCCGAGTTCCCTTTGGCTTCTGGCCCAGGTGCAGGCAGCTACACGTTTGGAAGAGCCTCAGGGATAAGAGGCTCTGCCCTGAGGACTCCTGCGGTGGGTGAGGGTCCACACACTCCAACTCTGCACTGCTGGGCTGGAAGTGACCTTCACAGCCATGTATGGGAAAAGGTCAAGGTGCCATGGGGCTGGAAGGAAGCCAGGTAAAAAGCAGAAGCCAGGACATGGCTGTCCATGTGTGCCTCTTAGTCTGTCTCTGTCTCTGTCTGCCTCTCTCTTTCTCTCTCTGTCTCTCTGTGTAGATATCTGTCTGTCTGTCTCTGTCTACCTCTGTCTCTTTCTCTCTGTATGTCTGCCTGTCTCTCTCTGTGTCTCTCTCTGTAGATGTCTATCTGTTTGTCTCTGTCTCTTTGTCTGTCTCTGTCTCTTTCTGTCTGTCTGTCTGTCTCTCTCTCTCTCTGGGCTGTTTAAATCCTCCTGGAGCCAGACCTCATGCCTCCTTTCCTCCTCCACAGACTGTTGCCACAGCAACAGCTGTTGTGTACAGAGAGTTCCAACCTGGAGCCAGGGGCCCTGCTCTGCTACTGGTGATCTGCCTGCCTGGCCTTGGGGCTGAGATCATGATGATAACGGTGGTGACACTCGCTGAGTGATTGCAGTATTATCCGCTCATCCTATACACAGGACTGGGGGTAGGACACGTGCCTTGCACATACACGATCCCCTGGATTCAGTCCCCAGCACCACCAAACCAAAACCAGGCAGAAGCAATGTGCACAACAACCTTACCCCAAGAAGGTACAGTCATGGAACAAGGGAGCCTTAGAGCTGGCCTTGAACTCAGACATCTGACTGCAGAACACACGTCTTTCTGGTTCTCGGGGTGACAGGTGTGATGCAAGGGGGCTTGGGCTATGGAGTGATTTTAGCACTAAGTCTTTCTATAGCTGTTAGCATAACTGGCAGTGTCTTGCTGGGGGTTGGGGGCTTAAAGCACAGAGTCTCAGCTCCCCAGCCTAGGACCTCCTCAACAGCTTGCTCTGTGCACGTGTGTGTGTGTGTGTGTGTGTGTGTGTGTGTGTGTGTGTGTGTGTACATGCATGCATGCGCAGGCACACCTGTACTAATACTGGGTCTTGAACTCAGTGCTAGCCCTAACTTTTTTCACTCAAGGCAGATGCTGTACCACTTGAACCACAGCTCCATTCTGGCTTTTGTGCTGGTTAATTGGAGGTAGTGTCACAGACTTTCCTGCCTGGGATGGCCTTAAACTGCTATCCTTAGGTCTCAGCTTCCTTAGTAGCTAGGCTTATAGGTGTGAGCCACCACTTTCCAAGAGCTGCATCTTGGCTCTTCAAAAACTTCTGCCTGGGCTGGGAAGGTGGCTCCGTGGTAGAGCGCTTGCCTTGCATGCTTGAGGCCCTGGGTTCGATTCCTCAGCACCACATAAGCAGAAAAAGCCGGAAGTGGCGCTGTGGCTCAAGTGGTAGAGCTACCCTTGAGCTGAAAAGCTGAGGGACAGTGTCCAGGCCCAGAGTTCAGGTCTCACGACCGACAAAAAAAATCTGACTGCTTTTCCCGCCCCAATTCCAAACCTGTCAGCAGTGTTGGGAAAGTTTGCTAAGTAGAAAAGGGCTTCTTCCCACTCCCCGCTTGCAGTCTGGGCTCTGTTGTATCTCCTTGACATCAGGTCCCTCGTGCCCCCTTCCTCACCCTCCCCCAGCCTCCCCCAGCAGCTCACCTGCTCCTGTTCTATGCGGCACATGGAGTGGATGGCATGCAGGTTCCACAGGCTGCCCCCCGAGGTTGACACGAACACCAGCTTTGCATGGCTCTTCTCTGCAACACAGCCCCCCAACCCCCTTGGAGCTCACCCTTTGACCCCTGGTCCTCAGCCCTACCACAGGGAAGAGGCTTATCCAGAGCTCCTGAGGGTCAGACTCCTGGGAGTCCCAACCCTGTACCCAGTGGCTGGATTTGATTTCGCCCCCCCCCCTGCCTTTCCTGCTTGACCCTAGCTGGTTGGGGCTGCAAGTCAGCTGCGCTGGCTTTGCTGTGCCGGGCTGGCTGCTTTCCTGTCTGTCTTCCCACAGTGATGCTGGGACAGCCCATCCTGCTGGCTGGGGGTGGTGGGAGCTGCCCCTGCAGCCAGGGCTGGCTAGGCTGCAGCTTACCTGGGGGGCCACAGAAGAAGCTGTCCTCCCCATTGTCATCTATGGGCTCCACCATCCTCCGGGCCCGGACCACGCTCTCCTGGGCCCTGCCCCAGGACGCGGGGCTCAGGGTGCTGTGGAAGGTGGAGCTGGGGAGGGAAGAATGCGCAGAGTAGTCACCATTAGCAGTGAAGAAGGCCAGGGACCACTGTCCAGGGCACCCCAGCAACATGAGGGGGCCACCCACTGTTCCTTTCCTGGGGGTCTTGCGCTTTCTCCCTTCGCCATACCCCAGTGAAAAGATGGGAACCTGTTACCTGTTCAGTTCAGGGTCCGGAGAAAGGGAGAGCAGGTTCTTGGGGCCGGTGAAAGCCTGTAGTGCCTTCCAGACTTCTAGCTTTCGCCCAACATCCGTGTCCCGAGGCTCGAAGCCCTGCGGGGAGAAGAGAGAGAAGAGCAGGTGGGCAGAGGGGGAGGAGCTCCCCATCTGTTCCCTTTCTACCTCTGCCCTGTTGACTCGGGGGGGGGGGCGCGGGAGGTCCCACCCACCTGGGCTGTGGACACAGGATCTCTGTATCACCTGCACAACTTCCATTGTTACCACCCCAGCTGGGGCCGCTCCGCGGCGGCCATCCTGAGCCGTGCTGGCCAGGCCAAAGGCCCCTATGATTTCCCTTGGGCTCTCACCAGTAGAGGGTCCGAGAAGTCAGGCAGGCGGCTTCCCAACAGTCCGGCCAGCGTGCACAGGAGGATGAAAGCCAGACACAGCAGGATCACGGTGCCCGGCCACTCAGCGATCAGCTGGGAATAGCTAGGACAGAGCGAGGAAGCCCACGTGAGCCATGGCTGGGAGTAGGGAGCTTCTGAGCTTAGGGCTCACCAAAAAGGGGTCGTTAGCAGCCTGGTCACCCTTAGGAGTCTACGGGAGGCCCATGCCTACCTCTTGGGCATCCGGTAGGTCCGCTCCTGCCTGAAGAAGAGAAGAAACCACACTTGCTAGAGTCTTCTCCGTGTGTGTATGTGCACATGTGTGTGTGTGCACATGTGTGTTGTGTGTGTGTGCACATGTGTGTGTGTGCAGGGCTTTTCCTCTCCCAGCTCCCAACCCCTCCGACACCACCCAGCCTGCCCCCTCCCCCGGAGCAGGGCACAGCCACGCCGCCTCCTAAGAGAGACCCAAGGGTCTGCCCCACCTTCCGGGGGGGCAGCCAGGGGGCTGTTGGTCCCCCCTCCTTACCTGACGCTGACCACGTGACGCTGCGCAGGTGGCTTCCAGGTGCCATCGTGCTGGGAGGGCACCAAGGAAGGGCTGTAGTTGGAGACATGGGAGCACAGGGCTGCCTGGTCTCCCAGCCCTAGTAGCGAACTGCCTTCTTGGTATTCGTGCGGCCCTCTAGAGTAGCCGAAATGACCAGGAGCTAAGGGACTACTCGGGTCCACAGCCTGGAGGGTGGATGCGGAGGGCGCCGGGACGGAGGCATTGGAAGGGTCCTCCAGGGGGCAGGTGTGGAGGGAGCAGCTCCTCTCCGGGCTTGCCTCGGGGGCCATGGCCTCGGGCTGGGACCTGGGAGATCACAGGTAGGGGAGAGAGGGGTGGAGGATGGGGGTAGAGCACCCCACATCCCAGAATTGTTCAGGAAGGCAAGGAGACAGGAGGAGCCCGGGGGTGTCTTGACCCTCCATCTGAGGGGAAGGGGAGGGGGCGAGGTCGCAAAGTCTGCATCTTGGGGGAGCATGCTTTCATCCAGCACTCAAAAGGACATGGTTGGCCACCATGCCCCAAGCTGACACGCTTTTGTATGCACGATCTCATTTACTCGTGGCAAACAATTCTGTAAGGTAAGAATGGCCTCGTTTTTGTAGACTTGAAAACAGAGCCAGTGAGGGGTAAGGAGGGGACTTTGAGAGCAGTTCAGGGTCTTCTGACTTGTGGCCCCATGCTCCTCCTGCTACAGTTGTTTCTCCTCCTTCTCCTGTTCCTCCTCCTTTCTCTCTCTCTCTTTTTATAGTCTGGGGTTTGAACTTGGCTTCATACTTGCTGGGTAGGTGGTGTACCTACTGGTGCCCCCAGCTGGTCCCTTTATTCTCCTGACACATCTAGGCAATCTTGGATCCTTTGAACATTTTCTTTTGTCGGGTTGTTCCCTGCCATCACCCCAGACAATCGCAGAACCTGGGGTGGGGGCAGCAGTCCATGTTTCCTTATTTTGCCTTTTCTTTCTTTCGTCTTTTTTTTTTTGACAGGGTCTTGTTATGTAGGTCAGGCTGGCCTAAAACATATTCCTGCTTCATACTCACAAGGACTGGAAATACAAGCATACAGCATCATGCCTGCCATTTTTAAAAAAATTTATGGATGTATGGATGTATATCAGTTGTGGGGCTTGGATTCAGGGCCTAGGCACTATCCCTGAACTCTTTTGCTCAAGGCTAGTGCTCTACCTCTTTGAGCCACAGTTCCACTTCCAGTTTTGGAATGATTAATTGGAGATAATCTCATGGGGAGGGGCACGGGAGGGGGGGGGAGTCTCATGGGGACTTTTCTGCCTGGCTGGCTTTGAACCATGATCCTTAGATCTCAGCCTCCTGAGTAGTTAGGATTACAGGCTTGAGCCACCAGTATTTGGTTTCCATTTTTGTTTGTTTTTGTTTTGCCAGTTCTAGGGCTGGAACTCAGGGCCTGGGCACTGTCCCTGAGCTTCATTTGCTCAAGGCTAGCACTCTACTACTTGAGCCACAGAGCTACTTCCAGCTTTTTCTGTTTATATGGCACTGAGGAATTGAACCCAGGGCCTCATGCATGCTAGGCAAGTGCTCTACCACTAGGACACCTTCCCAGCCCCTCCATCTTATTTTTTAATTTTCCCTTTTTGTCTTTTTCTTTTCTGTAGAGCTGGGAATGAATCTCAGGGTCTCACTCATGTTAGGCATGTGTTCTACTGAGTTACTTTTTAAGAATAATCTGATCTCCATGCAAGTCTTACCTCCTCGGTAAAGCCTTCCCTGACTATTTCAAGTCACCAGGAGCTCTGTAATCCTTTACCCTGCCTGACAGTTCTTCATGGCATAACTCTGCATGATGGAGCTGTGTCTCTTGCCTGTCTTTCCTGTGGAAAGTGGGGCTGGAGAGCAGGGACTGATGGCTATGGGCCAAAGTCCTGGCCACAGCAGTGCGTGCACATTGCCCATGGAGATCAAGTTATGCCCGGAGACCCAGTGGAGGACCTGGAAAGATGAGGCAAGCTCTACTTCTATTTTATTTCATTTTCAGAAGGATGTCTGGCTATGAGAGAATAGTGCTCACACCGAGGGCAAAATGGGGGAGCAGTGAAGGTAGGCTCCCAGCCCTGTCACGTCTTAGCCTGAGGTCCCAGGAGAGAGTCGTGGTTGTCAAAATATTAGCACCCTTGTCTGTTTTGATATGTGAATCAACTAATGGGACACACGAAAGCTGCCCGCTGCCCGGCCTGCGGAAGGCACGTTGGATTTTCCAACCTTTCCCACACTTATACTGCAAATGGCATTAAAGGTGTGTATTTGCATTCATAACTTGTCATCTTCTGGCACCTCAGGCAATATGTCTCCATTTTAGAATTTCTCACACACTTTGTGTATGTGTGTGTGTGTGTGAAATGAATGCCTATATATACACATATATAATGTATATACGTATGTAGTCTTTTAAAAGTTTTAGGTAGTTTATTAATTGTTCTGGGGATCAGACCTAGGGCCTTCTGCCATTGAGTTATAGTCCCCAGCCCTTGTTTTTTTTTTTTTTTTTGAGACAGTATCTTACTATGTAGCTTAGGCTGACCTGGAACTCACAAACCTGCCTCAGCCTCCTTAGTGCTGGAATTATAGCTGTGTCCCGCCATACCTGACATGGATGTTTTTCTCTTCCTCCTTATCCTCCTCTTCTCCTTCTTCCTCCTCCTCCTCCTCCTCTTTTTTTCTTTTTCTTCCTCTTTTTTTTTTTTTTTTGAGATAGGACTCAAATTCAGTATCTGACACTTTCATTGGCTGGTGCTCTACCACCTGAGCCATGCCTCTAATCCCCTAGGCTGGTTTTGAACTGTGATCTTCTAGATCTCAGCCTTTTGAGTAGCTTGGATTACAGGTGTGAGCTCCCAGCACCCTGCTGGATAGTTACTTCTTTAAGGTTTGAAGTCCTGTAGTCTTTATTTTTATTTTTTGAGTACCTGGCCTGGACTGAGTCCTGAGGGTCCTCAGTCTCCCTGTTTAAAGCACAGGCTGCCTCCTAGTGGTCAGAAGAGTGAACAGCCAAGGTGCAGCAATGGGCCAGTTCTGGCTGCCCCTGGTCTTGGAGCACCAAGCAATGGAATTCTCTTCAGAATGTCTGCGCCCCTCTTTAGAATGTCAATTTCTTTTACATGAAGGAAGCCAGCACACTGGGGTGGGGTGGGGGTGTTGGCAGAGCACCCTTGTTCAGTTGGTTCTTCTTCAAGGAACATCCTTGGTTAGTTTCCACGAGGGTCTCCTTGGCACCAGATCCTTCCCTTCTACTTCTACCGTGCCTCTCTGAGGAGCTAGGATCCGCTGCTCCTCGTCTAGTCTGACTCTTCTTCACCTTGCCAGCCATGGTCAATATGGAGAACTGAGAATCCCTCCACATCCTGACTGCTGTGGACTTGGGCCTCTCCTGCAGCCCTCCCAGGGCCCAGCCCAACTCCGGGCTTCTGCAAGCCCCTGCCCGCCCCTGCTCACGGCAGAGCAGTGATAGGAGTTAAATGCTCCTGTCCTCCCTTCTCCAGCCTTTTGGTTCCGCAGCGCTGACTGGGATGAGTACCTTCTTGGTCTGCCTGCTGGGCCCAGTGGCTGGTAAGCTGAGTGATGGCAGGCGGGCAGGCATGCAGGCAGGTGGGGGGCGGGGAGAGGAGGATGGAAAGTGGTGATGCTGGCCTGGGTCAGGAGGAAAAGATCCCAGCAGCCAGGGCTAGCCTGACTGAACTCCAGACACAGAGCCCCAACATGGGAGCCCGGGGGTGGGCAGGTATTTGTGTGTATTAGTCTTGCCCCCAAAGCCTACGGAAAGGTCATGTGGACATTCTTGTGGTTCCACAGAGTGGCCAGACAGATAGTTGGGAAGCAGCTCCCGCCGCTGGGAATAAATGAGGTCATTTAAAAAACTCAAGGAGAAGCCGGGCGCCCGTGGCTCACGCCTGTCATCCTAGCTACTCAGGAGGCTGAGATCTGAGGATCGCGGTTCAAAGCCAGCCCGGGGCAGGAGAGTATGTGAGACTTATCTCCAACAAACCACCAGAAAACCAGAAGTGGCACTGTGGCTCAAGCCTTGAGCTGAAGAGCGGAGGAACAGTGCCCAGACCCAGAGTTCAAGCCCCACAACCAACCAAAAAAAAAAAAGTTATTTTGAATATTTCTGTGGTGGATACAGGTTGCTGGGCATGGTGGTGTGTGTCTATAGTCCCAGCTACATGAGAAGCTGAGGCAGGAAGATTACTTGAGCTCAGGAGTTTAAGGCCAGTCTGAACAATAAAGATTTTATCTTAAAAAGAAAATAAAAATCTAGGGCTTACAAAGGGGCTGGTTACTTAGCTGTGCTACAGAGCACGCTTTACAAAGGCCCTGCATTTAGTCCCTAGCACTGAAACATGAAATACATAAAGGAAGAAAAAATCATGACAAGTGTCAGTGTGTGTGATGTGTGTGTGGTGTAGGGGTTGTTCATGTGGTTTGAGTGTGATGTGTGTGTGGTTTGTAGGGTGTTTGTGTGGTGTGGTTTGTGGTGTGTATATGTGTGATGTATTTGTGGTGTGAGGGGTATTTGTGTGGTTTGTGATGTGTGTGGTATGGAGGGTGTTTGTGTAATGTGTGTGTATGCGTGGTGTGTGAGGTGTGTGTGTGATATATGTGTGATGTGTGTGTGGTGTGAGGGGTATTTGTGTGGTTTGTGATGTGTGTGGTGTGGAGGGTGTTTGTGTGGTTTGTGATGTGTGTGGTGTGGAGGGTGTTTGTGTGATGTGTGTGTATGCGTGGTGTGTGAGGTGTGTGTGTGATATATGTGTGATGTGTGTGTGGTGTGAGGGGTATTTGTGTGGTTTGTGATGTGTGTGGTGTGGAGGGTGTGTTGTACATGCGGTGTGGTTTGTGGTGTGTATGTATGTGTGTGATATATGTGTGGTATGAGGGGTGTTTGTGTGGTTTGTGGTATGCGTGTGATCCCTGAGGTGTATGTGGTTTGTGTGTGGTGTGGTTTATGGCTTGTGTGTGTGTGTGTGTGTGTGTGTGGTGTATGTGTGTGCCAGCTTATACACTGTGTACCTCTCCCCAGAGTGCCACTTTGCTCAGCAGGAACCCCGAGTCTGTACTAGGTAGCGTCCATGGTCTCTGTCCAGTGTGGAGTGAGCCTGGGGGGCCTCCGGGGCCCCTGGGAATTGTGGGAACACAGCAAGTAGTTCTGGGGCCCAGGGGAAATGAGCAGACTAGACAGGGCTGATCTTTGGCAAGATAAACCAGACAGCAAACGGCTCTCCTGCCCAACTCCCGAACAGCAGCTCTGGCTCTAGGCCCCTGCACTGCTCCATCTTCTTCTTCTTCTTCCCATCTTCCCCTCCCTCTTCCTCCTTTTGTTTGTGTATGGTTTGGCTTCGCTTTTTCTTTTCTCGGTGGCTGGGGAGGGATGCAGGGTCTCAGAGCTCTTCCTTGGCTCCAGCCTCACCTATCTTTTTCTGGTTGGACATAGTCCCAAGCTGGCCCCAGGTGTGAGGAGCACACCCCTCCCCCCATTCGCCCTCCGAAGAAGATTCTGTTCCCTCCAGAGTGATGTATTTGTGACACAGGGAACAAAATGTTTGCCTCCACTTGTGGGGCTCTCTCTTCCCTTTGAGGGACAGAATGTGCGTTTCATTTGTGATAGTCGGGAAACAGTGTTTCCATCTCTGTTTTTCAGCCTCAAAGGACTGCACTTTGCTTTCAGCCCAGGCGGGAGAGAGAGGCAGTGTCATGTCAGAGGAGAGAGCTGGGGGCGGCAGGACACAGAAATTGCGCCATATTGTTACCTGGCTGGAGTGCTCCATCACACACAGGGTGGGGGAAGGGCTCCTTCCTTTCCCTCCAGCCTGGTGGGGGGGGGCGGGGCAGGGGCGCTTCAGGGGTCACACAGACACCCCAGGGTGACCTCCAGAGCCTCTTAGAGGCCACCACAGGCAGGGACACGAACCGCTGGGGGGGGGAGGGATGGGGGAGGGGAAGATGCAAGGCAGACAAACATGATGATGATGATGATGATGATGGTGGTGGTGGCGGTGGTGATGATGATGGCGGCGGCGGTGGACAGTCCCTGACGCAGCTGCCAAATGTCTCCCCGCTTCGGTGAACCCCCTCCCCGCCTTCCCCCCCACCCCGCGGTACATCATGGACACCTCCCCATGCACACGGACACGCTGCAGCCTGGTCTGACATTACGGCGGGTGGGGGCCTCCGGGGGAGGCCTCGGCGCACAGGCAAGGCCGGGGGGCCTAGGAAAGGGGGGTCGCAGGGAGGTGGGTGGGGCAGGGCTCCCCGGGAGGGGGAAAGCCATGGGGCGGGGAGGTTCTCAGGGGCGAACAGATTGACGTGGCAGGAAGGGGGCTCCCGAATCTCCACCGCCCCCACCCCCAAAAAAACGGGGGGCGCTCGGGGAAGGGCCGGGAATGAGCGGGGGGGGGTGGGGGATGGATGGCGGCTGTGGAAAATACCTGGAGCCGGGGGGTGCTGAGCAGACCTGCGAGCCGGACCTGCCGAGAGGTCCTCCTGCCTGTCCGGGGAGCTGCCGTCCGGGGCTCACCGGCCGCCCTCAGGCCGCGGGTCCCCGCCGGAGTCGCCTCCGCCACGTCCGTGCCCGTGGGCGGCGCCGCTGTCCGGGAGCTGGTGCTGAAGCAACGCCAGCGACGGACTCGTGCGCATGCGTCAGCTCCAGCCCGCCAGTCGCCGGGCGGGGCCGGGGAACATTCCAGCCAATAAGCTGGCGCCGGGGGCGGGGCCGGGGGCGGGGCCGTCCGAGAGCGAGGCTCGCTGCAGCGCCGCAGCGCGGGACCAGGGGGGCTCTGTCTGTCACCGAGGCCGCGCGCTGCGGCACCGCGCCTCGCTCCTGGCCGGGTCCGAGCGCTTGTCCTTAGGAGCCCGGCCGACTGGGGTGGGGTGGAGTGGGGGCGGGGGCTCAGGCTGCTCCTCGGGAACTGGGGTGCAGCGCCGGGTTAGAGATAAGAGAACCTCAGGATTTAAAAAGCAGCCTGCGTCTGTCACTAGCGCAGGGGGGGGAGGAGGGGGGAGGCGGGTCATTCTGAGTCTCCATTTCCTGGCTCCTCTCCTTTCCTGGCCGGGGTGGGGGGGGTTGGCATCCATCTGCCCAACTGTGTTTTTCCTTGCTGTCCATTTGGACTGGACCTGGCTTCTGTATCCCTCAGCCATGGAGCCTCGATTTCGTGTATTATTATTATTGTTATTAATTTTTGAAGTGGGCAATACCAGGAGGGGAGGATGGGGAGAGGGGAGGGAGAGGAAGGAGGGATGCTCAGAGAAATGCCCAGCCCCCCCCCCCCACCATGGTCACGGCCTGGACTGCCAGCCAGGCACTGCAGGTCTCCCATTTGGGGAAGAGATCACACACCAGCCATAGGAGAAGCCTGCAGGCCTAAGGGCCTGGATGTGGGAGGGTCTCACACCGCTGGCAAAAGGGCTGTGGAAGCAGAAGGTGGGACAATCTGACAGTTTACCTGTCCTGAGTAGCTTACAGTTTGGTTGGAGGGATACAGGGCTAGCCTACAAATCGGTGCCAGCTGGGCAAGGTATGGTCAGACCCCTGAGGTTCTCCGAAACTCGTGGCAGAGGGAGGGGTCCAGAGAGGGAAGGCTTCTGTCTTCCTCATAGGCTTAGAGACATGGCCTTTGCCGACACCCAGGGGTAGGAGAGAGGGAAGACGTGGCCGTGTGGGGAGGAGTTAGGGGGTGTGATGAGAATTCAGGAGGCTGGAGAGTTGGGGCGATGGTGAGGTCCCTCTGGATGGCAGGGTGCCGGTTGGAGGCTCGGATGTACGGGAATGAGGTGCGGGCTGGAGCCTGGGAAGGCTCCCCAGATCTAGATAGACGGGATCCGGTGGAGGTGGCTGGGATATACTTGAGGTCCGTGGATGAGAGTGGGCCCACTGAGTCAGGCTTCTGTGGATGCCAGGAGAGATGCCCCATTCCAGCAACAGAACCCAGAGGCCACAGTGTCCCCTGAGTGTCAAGTGAGGGGAAGGAAGACAGGCTTTCTTTTCTTTTCTTTCTCTCTTTCTTTTAATAGAACATGGCCTCTAGGAGCCTGTTTATTAGGAAGAGAAGATTCTGGCTCAGGACCCTTCCAGATCAGCAGGGCTCCTCAGCATGTGGCCTGTTTCATCTTCCCTCAGTGGTGTGGGCCACAGTGTCTTGGACCATGGCAAGGGGGATGTCCTCCAGGCCCCGGGTGACAGTGACCTGGGCCAGGGGGGTGTCCGCCAGGTCCCGGGGGGCAGTGACCTGGGCCAGGGGGCCTGCAGGGTCCTGGGGGGCAGTGCCCTGGACCTGGGGGAGGAGGACAGTGACCCTGTGGAAAGCCAAATGAGCAATGTCAGAGTCCAAGATCAGTGCCCAGCTCATTTGCAGTCATTTCTTCTTCACCCCACTTCTCCAGGGGACTCAGGACTCCTGAGTCTTGAGCAAGGGGTTGTAGTGGGGGGGGTTGGGGGAGAGGATTGGCAAGTGATGGCTCCCAGCCTCCCCCACCCCGTGTCCTCAAGAGGCCTCTTGAGCACACAGCAGGCTATACAGGAGAGGGGCCTAGATTTCCTGCTTTCCATTTCTTAGGCGAAGTGTGATTTCCACTCCTGCACCTCAGTTTATTTTCTGTGTAAGAAGTTCAATGATCTCACATTACCCCTTGCCTTGCAGAGTGATTAACAGCTGAACCCTGCTGGAGCCCAGGCTGGCTGTACTTAGGAGCCAGGGTGCGGATGGAAGAGGCTTCAGAGGGGTCACTAAAAGCAGAGTGTGGGGTGGGGAGGGAAGGGAGGGGGAGGGGAGGCAGTCAGCAGGTAAGGAAGATTCAGGAGCTGAGGAGAAGTGGGGGGCAGCGGGAGAGTGGGAGGAGACCAAGGGAAGGAGATGGAAGATGTGTGTGTGTGTGTGCGTGCGCGCGTGTTACACTTGCATATAGACAGCCATGGGCGTGGTTTGGAGCTGTGCAAACAGAGGAATGTATAGCGTGTGTGGTACCTGAGCCCCTGTCACCCCTGAGCACATGCCAGACCCCAGAAATCAGGAAGAATAGTAAGGGAAGTCAAAGTTTTACTTCTCAGATAGAAGAGGGCTGCAGAGGGGCTGGGAAGTTGGCTCAGTGGTAGAGCGCTTGCCTTGCATGCTCGAGGCCCTGGGTTCGATTCCTCAGCACCACATAAGCAAAAAGAAAAAAGCCAGAAGTGGCACTGTGGCTCAAGTGGTAGAGCTCTAGCCTTGAGCGAGCTGAAGAGCTGAGGGACAGCGCCCAGGCCCAGAGTTCAGGCCCCACGACCGGACCAAAAAAAAAAAAAGAGGGCTGCAGAAAGTGTGTCTTGAAACCCATGTTGGTTAGAATCGCCCCTGAAGCCTAAGATCAGGCCCAAGGAGGGCTGTGATCTTTGATTCCACACTAGGCCACCCGGGAGTCAGCAGAGATGGGAGAAATACCAGCCTGGGCGTTGCCCCCAACAGGGTCTGAGGAGGGCGTGGTATAATGGGTGGAGACAGTTAGCATAGGCCCCTGGGCTGAGTTTCCTGGGTCATGTGACAACATGCCCCATCTGGGCACAGGGGTGTCTACAAACAGCCACTTCCCTCCCTCTCTACCTCTCCTTCCAGGGCTCTCTTGTGGTGGACCCACAGATCCAGTTTGGTGCCCACAAGGATGGAGTGGAGGAAGGGTACAACCTGTGCCAGAGGCCCCATGGTGTGGCTGGGCCCTGGGTGTGAGCCAGCCACCCAGCCAGGCGGTGAGGCTAGCCAGGAGCGCAGAGCCGCGGCAGACAGGTGGGGACACAGTGGGAGAGGACGGAGTGCTGGGCAGGGAGGGGAAGGAGACAGATGGCAGAATGGCAAGGAAAAGCTGGAGGGGGAAGGGGGGGAGTAGCCTGCTCCCGCCTTTTCATTTGGTGGAAGTGGAGGCCCAGGAAGGAGGTTTGGAGGATGTGGCCATTGGGAGGGCAGAGGGGAGAGGCTTGGGGGGAACGTTCCTACCTTTGGACCTGTGGGGGAGGAAGGGGAAGGAAAGCAGCTTTGGTCATTTCGTTCAACAGCATGGAAAAAAAAAAAAACTCCTGACCTCTTCCCGCCCCGTCTCCCCCACACCCCCACCCCGCCAGGCTCCCCAAGAGGGCCAGCTGCCCATGTGCATGCCTTCATTCATCTGCTCCACAACACAACAGATGCACATGGAAAGTCAATACAGCACTGGCAGCGGGGGCCCTGCGGGCTGGGCGCTGGCTCACTCCCAGCGAGGAGGTTGTGGGTTCTTGTTACACTCCGTGAGCTCTTCTAGTCACCTTAGCCAAACCTGATGATGATGCTCTCACTGGCCCAAACCCCGACTCTTCCTCCTTCCAGCTCAAGGCCCACCCCCCCTCCTTGCCCCCACCCCTTTCCTTTCCTTCACCCCACGCTGCTGCTCACCTGGATGCATCTTTAGACGGCCAGAGCCGGCGAGTGACCCCCAGACACACCAGACACACCTGTGGTCCGAGAAACGCAGGGTCTGTTTACAGCAATCTCAAACTCAGTCTCTTTTCCTTCCCCAAGACGCACGCACACACGCACGCACGCACGCACGCAGCCTCTGGCGGGATGCAGAGCCGCCCTCTGGGTGCAGTGGTGGAAAAGGGGGTTTGTGCACATGGGGAGAGGAGACAAGGGCTGCACCTGTCCCCGAGCCCCACACCCCTGCTCCTGATGCCGCCCCCGCTCTCCTTGCTCTCCACTGCTTCAGTCTGGAAGTGTGGGAAGACAGATGGACAGACATGCGTACGGACACACAGTCACACACACCACAGCACAGGCCCACACACCCAGAGAGAGAACCGGTGTGTGCAGACAGCCGACCCCCCCCCCCGACCCCCAGTCCTTACCTGAGGGAGAGCACAGCTCGGGACAGGAAGTCTGTGGCTCTGTCTGTCCGCAGCTATATTTGTGTAGGCCAGGGAGGGGCGGGGAGGGGTGAGGTACACCCAGGAAGGTTGGACACAAGGCACAGGTGAGTGAGGAGGGTGAGGCTCACCCTTACCGAGCAAAGGGCAGTGGGAGGAGGGTGGAGAAGGAGACAGCGATCCTGCCCTTGCTCTTTGTTGCCAAGCCCCAGGCTCAACTCTTAAATCACTGTCCAAAACAAGGAACTATCTGAGAACAGAAACCCCATAGAACCTAGGGACCTCCATTACCAGCTTTCCTCTCTCCCGGATCCTCCTCTCTAAGGCCTCTTGCTCGCACAGTGGTCTCATATGTAGTGAGCATACCCGCTGTCTAAGTCATCTTTGTATTCGCAGGCACGCCGTTCATAGGTACCCAAGAAATATTTGGTAATGAATGAAAGGCCGGGGCTTGAACTTAGGGCCTGGGTGCTGTTCCTTTGCTCAGGGCTACCATTTGCTGCCACTTGAGCCACAATTCTACTTCCTGCTTTTTTTTTTCTTTTGGTGGTTTATTGGAGTTACGAGAGAACTTTCCTGCCCAAGCTAGCTTTGAACTGCAATCCTTAGATATCAACCTCCTAAGTAGCCAAGATTACAGGTATGAGTCACCTATACCTGACTAAGGCTGGAATTA